CCCTTTCTTTATTCATGTTTGACTGAACAGAATTGTCTATTTAAAGTAAATTGAGCAGAAACAATTATTGGCAAGAGTCCTCATTTAAAAAGTGCCATCTTAACTCATTTCTGCCCCTCTGCTGCCCTTCTGTGGCTATTTCTTGTAAGGGCATCTCAGTGCTGCATGGGCTGGGGGGCAGGTGCCGGGGGCGGGGCGGCGGGAGGATTCTTGATTTCCCAGGCTCCGCTTTCCCTAGCATATTTTCCTGAGTAAATTCAGTCAAGCCCAACTTTCAAAACCTCCCAATTGTGCAACAAAATACTCTAACAAAGTAGGAGGGGACAAACGACTTTCCTCGGTGTCCGCTTCCTGGTCCTGCATGGCCCCACCCTCCCAGGAACCCTTACGGGGCTTCGCCATCCAAGCAAACTGCCCTGCCCCCAATACAAATGTGCTCTTTCTGTACACGCCTGGGATGACCTCCAGTCCCAGAACAATAGAATGTGATCTGCTTCCTCCTCACTATGCATTATATAATCTGCGTCCCTCCAACCTCCAGAGACCGCCCCAAACCCACCTCTCCCAGGAAATATGCTAGACCACTTCCAAACGCAAACCAGTGTCTCAGCATTTATCAAGTACGTATGCACCCGAAATAAAGTGTCTCTAAGTAATCTGAACATACATCAGGTACCAAATGCTTAAATTTAGATAATCTCGTAGATAATTACTTGAAAAATTAATAAAATATATTGTAAGTATCAACTTTATTAACCTATGGTGTTTGATAAGCAGGAATCTTTGCTTAAGTTGGAAAAAGAGATCAGAGGAAAACAGAATGTAAGCCCTTGATTGGAAAACAGGCTCATTATCTGGATGTGTGGCCTCGGTTTACAGGGATAAAATGGTACCCATAGAAATGGCTGTTCTGAGGACTGATGGAGATTTTGCGTGAAGAGATTTAACATGTGCCTGACATCGACTAAGATTTCCATAAAGTGTTAGCTAGTGGTAATAGCTACTGTTATCCTAAATATTTATATCTCCAGAAGATAGGCAAAGACTTTTATAAGCTGATATAGCTTTGGTTTTCACTGTAGAACTGTACAGCAAATGCTAGTGAATTTGCATATGTTTTTTCAATTGCTGTCTCTTATAGATGATATATTTTGTTAGTTTTTCTTTTGGTTAATAGTATTTTGTTTTAAAGGAAAATTAAGTCACATTCAGAATAAATTTGCTTAAAAGAAATTTGTCGCTAGATTTATCTTCTAGTTAAGCCGAACTGAGAAAGCAACAAAATTAGCAACTCAATGAAATAGCAGGCTCAAGAAAAAACTTCCACTTTCAACTGAGTTAACAAAGTAATCTGGTATCACAATGCTCCATTGAAATGCAACATTTTACGCTAACTTTTTAAATTTTTTCTGGTATCAAAAATAGTGCATTTCTGTTGTAAACAAATTTTAGAAAATATGCAGCAGACTTCAGACCATTGGTGATCCCACAGTTAAGAGCCAAATCTTCTTAAATACTAGTGAACTAATGACTGTCTTTTTTTGTAATCTAAACTGGTGCTGCCTAATAGAACTTTCCATGACAATGAAAATGTCTTCCATCTGTGCCCTCAAACATGAGAACCACTAGCCATGAGTGGCTCTCAAGTGTCTGAAATGTAGCTAGAACAAATAAGGAACTAAAGTTTTAATTGTGTTTAATGTTAACTAATTAGAATTTATGGTTTTTAACATGTTTCTCAGCTTTACTGAGGTAAAACTGACAAATCAAAATAGTATATATTTAAAGTAAATAACATGACAATTTGATTTTGTATGCATTGTGAAATGATTCTCACAATCAAGTTGAACAAATCCATCACCTCACATCATTACCTTGTGTGTGTGTGTGTGTGTGTGTGTGTGTGTGTGTGTGTGAAAGAGACAGAGAGTAGAACACTTAAGACTCTAGCTCTGTCACCCAGGCTGGAGTGCAATGGTACAATCTCAGCTCACTACTACCTCTACCTCCCAGATTCAAGTGATTCTCCTGCCTCAGCCTCCTGAGTAGCTGAGACTGCAGGTATGTGCCACCACGCCCAGCTAATTTTTTTTATTTTTAGTAGAGACAGGGTTTCACCATGCTGGCCAGGTTGGTCTCAAACTCCTGACCTCAAGTGATCCACCCACCTTGGCCTCCCAAAGTACTGGGATTACAGACGTGAGCCACCGCGCCTGGCTACTGTCAGCAAATTTCAAGTAAGCAGTACAGTATAATTAACTATGATCACCATATGGTACATTAGATTCCCCAGATCTTCTTGACCTTATAACTGAAAGTTTGGACCCTTCCATCAGCATCTCCCCATTTTCCTCACCAGCCACTGCTCTACTATCTGCTTTTATGAGTTCAACGTTTTTACAGTTTGCATATGAGTGAAATCATGTGGTATTTGTCTTTCTGCGTCTCACTTCCTTCACTTAGCATGATGTCCCTCAGTTCATTCATGTTGTTGCAAATGTTAGCATTTCCTTCTTTTTCATGACCAAATAATATTCCACTCTCCATATAAACATTTTATCCATTCATCTGTCAACTAATATAATTTTAATTTAAATGTTCACATGTTGCTAATGCCTGCCATATTGGACAGTACAGCTCTTGATGGATATCTTTATGATATTGGGAACTTAACATTGCATGGGGAGCATTTCTCCATATTATTAAACATCCTGGGAAAACATAATTCAAATCCCTCTTTATTGAATTATATGAAAGTATTATGATTAATTTGAACATCACTGATTATGAGGCAATTAGATTTTTTCATTTTAACTCTAATAATAAAGTTACAGTAAATCACTTTGTACGGAAATATTCCTTGGGATACGTCCTGAGAGATAAGTTACTAGGTGAAAAGGTAAGAACATCTTTAAGGCTCTAAACACATGCTGCTACGTTGGTTTCCTGAGATGTTGAATCTATTCTACTCCCACCCACAAGTATTCCAGAGAACCTGCCTCTCTGCACCCTTGTCAACATCAAGCATTACCCAATCCTCTAAAAAAAAAAAAATCTTTGCTTAATTGACGAGCAGAAATGAGATCAAGTAGTTTGAGTATTTTTGTCCTTGATTGGCGATTGTGGTGTTCATGGATGTGGGCCTCCCAGATCCCCTGCTAAGGGAAGATTCAGCTGCAGTTGTGTGATGAGCAGACAGCACCTGCCACCTGCTTCAGGATCAGCCTCAGCTGCAGGCTGTTCCCTTCCAGGGTGGCCCATGCCCAGTGACACATGAGTAGAAGCATGTGGACCGGGCATGTGGGTCCAACTTGGACATCTCTGATGGACAGTGCTCACTCAGGAGCTCATGGCTGGGCCACCTGAGGAACTGCTGGGTCTGCATCTCACGCGGATATCTCCATCTGCCCGTCCCGCTTCCCCTCTCCCCATTCCTTTCATAGATGTGGATCTCTGAGGAATATCTAGCACCCCAAATCCATCTTAACATCTGTTCCTGGAGAACCAAATTGCAATAGAAGTGATATTGGACTTTTAAAATTTGTTTACCTTTTTCTGTCATGTTTGTGTTGAGAAGGATTTTGAGGCCACTTTCAGGCAAGCAGGAAAGAATGTGAATATCAATGAATACATTTGAATCAAAAGATTTGTTATGTCTGAAACAATAGAAAATGTAATAAATGGCCAGGCACTGAGGTGGCTGTAATCCCAGCGCTTCGGGAGCCAAGGCAGGAGGATCACTTGAGCCCTGGAGTCCAACATAGTGAAACCTTCTCTCTACAATAAGTACAAATAATAAAAATGGTCAACATAGTGAAAGGGAGGATTACTTAAGCCCAGGAGGTTGAGACTGCAATGAGCTATGATTGTGCCACTGCACTCCAGTCTGGGTGACAGAGTGAGATCCTGTTTCAAAAAAAAAAAGGAAAAGTAATAAAGATAGAGATAGACGTATTTGACTTAAAACTTTCTGCGTATGAAAAACACCCTAGGCTGGGTACAGTGGCTCACGCCCATAAGCCCAGCGCTTTGGGAGGCCAAGGTGGGTAGATCACTTGATGTCAGAAGTTCGAGACCAGCCTGCCCAATATGGTGAAACCCCATCTCTATTAAAAATACAAAAATTAACCCGGCATGGTGGCACGAACCTGTAATTCCAGCTACTGGGGAGCTGCGGCAGGAGAATGCTTGAAGCCAGGAGAACCGAGACTGTGCCACTGCATTCCAGCCTGGGCAACAGAATGAGACGCTGTCTCAAAAGAAAAAAAAAAAAGTGGATAAAAAAAATTTTAAGGCACAAACTCAAATGACAATAGACAAAAGTTTAATATTTACCTCTAAAGAGACCTTACACGTCAAACTAACCCAAATACAGAAGACGTTGCACTATCCTGTCTTATGTGCCTTTTTTTTTTCCTTAAGACAGAGTCTCACTCTGTTGGCCAGGCTGGAGTGCGGTGGTGTGAACACGGCTTACTGCGGCTTCCACCCCCTGGGCTCAAGTGATCCTCACACCTCAGGCTCCCAAGTAGTAGGAACTAGGGGTGTGCCCATCACACCTCGCTGATTTTTACTTTTTGTAGAGATGGGATCTTACTTTGTTGCCCAGACTGGACTCAAACTCCTGGCCTCAAGTGATCCCCCTACCTTGGCCTCCCAAAGTGCCGGGATTACAGGTCTGAGCCCCACACCTGGCCTGCGCCTATTTCTTCAGGACGTAAAAACATTCGTGGCATCTCCTCTAAACACCTTTCCAGAAACCCTTCGGGACTGGGCTCTTTCTCTGAAACATCAGGTAGTGCAAGATGAAGATGGTCTTAAAAAAAAAAAGGTCTTTTTGAAGAAGCTTAACAAAAATGAGATTGCAGCTTTGCAGGGAAAATCATAGTTCTTCCAAACCTTCCATTCCAACAAGAGTGAGAAAGTGAAGTAAACTTGAGTTGGGGTCCCTCTCCAACAACAAAATCTCACCTAACCCTGATGTCTTCTCTCTTTTACAGCCTTGATCACTGATGACCTCACAGATGCGATTATCTGTGCCAGGAAAATTGTTAAAGAGACAGAAGGAATGAACTATTGGTAAGAGTCTTTCCTT